CATCGCCTTTGCCAAGGCATCCCTCCATTTCGCCAACTCTTTGTTAAGAATTTTTCACCTACTAGATAGTGCTCTTAAATAAGACATAGAAATTAATAAAACAAAAATTACAAATAATTTACCTCACTGGTAAGGTTTTCCCTGCTTCTATGGTTGTTCATCGCCTTTGCCAAGGCATCCCTCCATTTCGCCAACTCTTTGTTAAGAATTTTTCACCTACTAGATAGTGCTTGATCTGTACGGGTTGAACCAATTACCCTTTCACAAAAATCCTGATGAATTTTTTTCCACATATGACAGAATTTCATCTCATTGCCCGATACGGGACAATGACTAATGTGGAGCCAAGACTCACACAAGCTAACATCTTCCATGACACTCCGTGCCCCTCCGGTTTCACTAGAAGAACCCATAAATTTTTGTAGAAAAATTCAACTTCAAAGTGAAAAAAATATTGACTACAAAGTGAATAATGGTAGAATGAGAAGAAAATGTATGAAGAGTTGGTGTTAAAAGTGATTGGTATTTGTTGGTATTTATAGGAAAAAAAATCAGTATTTTTTGGGTATTTTTTCAAATTTTTTTCGATTTTTTTTCTTTTTTTTTTTGGGCAGAATCAACAGCTGCCGTTGGATTGCTGGAAAATTGAATCAGAGCGCCCAGATCATCGCCACGTGGAAGAGAGTCGTTGGGTGCAAGTTTTGTTTTGTTTTTTTCATTTTTTTATTCGCGAAAAATGGCTGCCGTTGGATTTGGAATAAAGCTGATCGGACAGCTCGAGAATGCGCCACGTGGAATAGACCCGTTGGCGGGTCACTGTAGCGGGCGCGTCAAATTTTTTTTAACGTTGGCGCGTGCGTTGCACGCGCCAACGTTAAAAATTTAAACAGCAGCGCTGACGTCAGCCCAAAACGAGTTTTGTTACTCGGGCTAGACCTCCCCAAGGGCTAGCCCAGGCAAATTTTTTTTGCTGGGGCCCACACCTTGCCCTGGCAGATCTGTGTTGCTAGAAACAGCATTCCCCCAGCCCCCCCTTGGTGGAAATGCTCTCAGTGGAATAAGGATTAATCTGAAATCAAATGCTTCTCAAATGTAATTGCTTTGTTGTTAATTATGAGAAATAAGTGCTTGGCAAGGCAAGTTCGTATGGGAGGATGCGGCTCCACCTTGCCTAAGGATGTTCTTGGATAAAGACGGGGATATGAGGGGTAGTTTTGTTTTGCTGTATTTTGTCTATTGAAGGGTTGTGATACTCATTTTTATTGACCGAATTTTCCTCATTTGGGGGATTTTATGGCAAGGTTTTAACGAGGTTAATGTTATGCCCTCATTTCTTTTGTTCAATCTGATTTGATTCAATGTTTCCCCTTTGATTTTTTTTAATTTTAAGTTTTGTGGATCATAATACCAAAGGGTCCTTGCATGTGGAACTATGATTTGAATAAGTATGACATTTGCTAAGCGTGGAATAAGGATTAATCTGAAATCAAATGCTTCTCAATTTCTTTGTTGTATTAGAAAAGGAAAATTTACCTTTGGTTGCTGTTTTTTTTTAATTAAAAAAAAATCTAGAATAAAAAACCTAAAAGATTATCATCTAATTCTCATCCTATTTCTTTCTCTATATTCTCTAACTTCACTTTCGTTAGAACAAATGGTCATGTCTCACGTCTTGGGATCGGCTCCGCCGTAGTACGATATTGTCCGTTTTGGGCCCCCCTCTCTGCCCTCACGGTTTTGTTTCTGGGAACTCACGAGCAACTTCACAGTGAGTCACCCATCCTGGCATTGCTCTAGCCCCAACTCGCTTAACTTTAGAGTTCTCTTGACTCTGAAACCAATGAGCTCCCAAAAGGCCTCGTGCTAGATGGAGGTGGACATATACATATAAGGCACATTACCCTCTCTCTGTTGGTCGACGTGGGATGTTACAATGCCTTCAATTTTGTTAACTTTTTCTGTTAAATGCAGGGGCAAAATGATAATTTTATGTTAAAACCAAAAAAATGAATAAAAAATCATATATTTAAAATAACAATAAAAGAAAATCAAATAAAAAACCAACCCAAAAAATAATAATAAAGTCGGGGGAGTAGAAATTGGGATAGAAGGGGGGGAGAGAGAGAGAGAGAGTTTAATTTTAATTTTTTAATTGTTTATAAATTTTTTTAATTTTTTTTCATATTTTAATCAATTTTGATACAAAAATATCATTTTACCCTTGCATTTAACAGAAAAGTTAACAAAATTGACGGCATAACTATTTGTCCTAACGAAATTGAAGTTGACAAACCACGGGAACTATTTTGGAAATACAAATTTATAAATAAACCCAATCCTAGACATGTATTTATAAAAAAAACCAAAAAAACTATTTAAACATAGAAACACACCCAAAATCAACCCCAAAATCAACAATTGGGTTTTGAGTGTGTATAATGATGGGTTTTGGGTGTGTTTATAAAGTGTTTTGGGTGCTGGGTTTTTTTATAATTTCAGCCTCCATTTTAGATGTTTTAGTGAAACTCCCTTTTGGAAATTGAGCAACTCAAATGCAAATCCAGTCTAAATTCAGAGACTAATAAAATGATTAACCAATTTTCTTTTGTATTCATGGTCATCATATATGTTCATATTTAATTTTCTTAAGAGGATTTGTATAATTAGTTTCTACCGTTTTAAGGTTTTACATTAACACCATTTTTTCCAACCAAAAGAAAAAAGGATGAAAACCGATTCCTTTTTGCCTATATTTTCATCAATCAAAAGGGAGAAAGCGGACCATCAAATTATATTACCTATATTAGATTGAGTTCAAAAAAAATTCACAACAAGAAATAACTAAGAGTTATTTACACTAACACTCCCTAAGATTTTTTAATTTTTTTTACAAAATTCCTTGAGATTTTAGAAATTACACGAACATCTCCTGAGGCTTTAAATTATTTTTACAAAACCATTTTCATTAATTTTTCGTTCAAAGATTGATGATTTTATACAAAACAATCTCCAAATGACAAAATTGGCCCTTGAGATTAGATTACACACTTCCTTGAGGTTAATTTGGTTATTTGCATAAGTTTTTTTATATAATAAAATCATCAATTTTTTTACGAACAATTAACGAAAAGAAGTTTTGTGAAAACAAACTGAAATCTCAAAGAGTATTTGTGTAATTTTTGAGATCTAAAGGGGTTTTGTGAAAATATAAAAAACCTCGGGGATTATTAATGTAAGTAAACATCTCCAAACCTTCTTATTAGTTTGTACCTTCCTAGTTTATATAATATTAGACCGTAGTTATCGTTTGCTAAAAAAACTTAATTTAGGCTCAATAGAGTTCTATTCACTTCCTGTTTAAATAAAAATAATAAATTATTTTTTTTGGAACTTTTCTTATTGAGAGGGATTATAATATACTAAATTCATACACAATACACGAATGTTACAACTCGATTGAGAACCTTTACTAAGAAGCAATTGTTACAAAACACTACACCAGTAGGTCATTTGCAAATCAAACAAATTAAAAATAGAGCAAAATAGAGAAAGAAGACAACTCGATTAAAAATATAAAAAGAAAGGAGGAGACGATAAAGTAAAATCAGAAAACAGAGTAGGCAGAGAGCATCAAAGCGTGAAAGAGAGCAGCCGAAAGCAAAATTCTAACTCAAACAAAACACAAGCAACACTCGCAGAGACTTTCACAATCCCAAAGCAGCAATGCAAAACTTAAGCCCATCGCCACCGCCATTATCACCACCTTCATTTCTCTCCGCACCCACCGCCCTCTCAATCAAAGACCCCAAAGCCCTCCTCTCAATCATCCTAGTCTCTTCCCTTTTTGCTCTCCTCCTCTTCCTCTCTTCCTCTTCCTCATCCTCATTCTCATCCTCCTCTTCTTCTCCGCATTCTATGCCCGACCCGTATCTCTTCCCGACCCGACAAGCCCACCGCATCGTTTACCACGACAACAACTCCTCAGATCCCATCCCTCCCTCCATAGCCTACCTCTTGTCCGGGTCAAAAGGCGACTTGGGTCGGATCCTCAGACTCCTTTACGCCACTTACCACCCCAGAAACCAATATCTTCTCCACCTTGACCGCTTTGCTTCTGATTCTGAGCGTGAAAAGTTGGCTCTCAAAGTCCAGTCACTCTCCATTTTCAGAGCTGCCCAGAATGTCCATGTCATTGGAAAGGCTGATTTTGTGTACCCAACAGGATCTTCTGGTATCTCCTTTACGCTTCATGGCGCGTCGATTCTGCTTCGCTTGTCGACCATTTGGGATTGGTTTATCAGCCTCAGTGTTGGTGATTATCCACTTGTTACACAAGACGGTATGGATTTTGTGGCATTGTTGTTGGATTTGAATTACTGTTTCTGATTTTTTTTTATTTTTTTTAGTGTATTTTTTGGTTTTATGTCGGATTTTTTATATGGGGTTTTCTGGGTTGTGTAGATCTTCTTCACATTATGTCATTCCTGCCCAAAGATCTAAACTTTGTGAACCATTCAAGTTATATTGGTTGGAGAGAGTACGATCGTATGCCTTTCAGATTTATCGATTTCGCATTTATGTTTGTATTCAAGTTTTGTGTGGATGCTGTAAATGAAATGTAAGGTTTGTGTTTGCTGTTTACAGGTCTAGGAGATTGAAACCGATAATTGTTGATCCGGGGCTTTATCTTTCTCAGAAAACTGAGATGTTCTATGCTGCACAGAAAAGGGTGTTGCCTAATGCTTACCGGTTGTTCACAGGTGCATTTTCTTTGTGAACTAGTTTTTGCTTAAATTAAGTTCTTTATTTCAATTATCAAAGAGGAAATTGTACTACGAAAAATGTGATTGCCTGTGTGTTAGTTTGAGCTTCATTTGCACGCAGTATGAGTTGTTTACAGAGCGAATGAACATCAATAGTTGATCTAAGTTATCCTCGCAAAATTTTAGTTGAGATTTAGTTATCCATTGTACTTCCATCAATTAGTGCTATAATTTGGTCAATTTGCAACGTGTTTAAATTTGAAATTCAAATGATGTTACCAAAGAATAACCTATAAAGTGGTGTGAGCTTGTAGATTGTGTGATTAGGCTAGGTGAGTCCCACTGCTGGATGCATAAGGATCCTTCAAGCAGTTATCGGATTGAAGCAATCACCTACCCTTGAGCATCTAATGGGTTATCACTTTCTGTTTGCATTGCTAGAGCTGGAGAAAAAGCTGAAAGGTAACAGCCTTCCAGTTTGTTTTTCACTGTCATTGGTGCCAATAATTTTTTGGCCAAGTGTTATGGTTTTGGTGGTTTAGTATCAAAACCAATTTTGGTTAGAAAAGAATCCAATTTTGGAACACTACTCAAGTGGTCTTTTCTATGGTGGTGGAGAACCTGGAGATGCATAGAGGACCTAGGGTGCTTTGTATGAAGCCTTGCAATTTCCATTCAAACAAAGTGAATTTGAGTTCTTAAATTTATCTACTGGTTCCTTTAGCTTTGTGTTCAGAACTAAAATTATAATTACTGGTTACTACTTTCCCATCCGTAGTGTCAATTGCAGAAAGATATTAGGAATGAGTCAGTTTGACCTTTTAGTTGCCAACAAACTTAGAGATTGAATTAGTGATTCTTCTTATTTCTTCCCCATAAATACTATGTAATATGTGATATTCTTAAGTTTTGCACACTGATGATGTAAAATATGTATTCTTCTTAAATTTAACCTTTGAGTTCTGTCACAAAGAGGCAGTCTAGATGAGTTAATATCAGCTTTTTACCTGGATTAAACTGAATAGATTCAAGATTACTTGCCTATACAGCAATGACCACAATGTTTTCCGATTACCATATAAAAAAGGAATAAGCATTGAAGAGAATCAGCATAGAAAGACAATCAGAAAGAAGATAAGCATTTGGCATAAACTTTTGGCAAAGAAATGTAACATCCACCCGGTGACCTTCGTCACCGTACTCTCTTGATAGCTTCAATAGTTCACTGAAAGGCTTGAGAAATGGGATATAGCATTGGAAAGGTTATTAAAGTGGGCAGAGAAGCAAAGTAGGGTGATCCAGTTATGAGACTATCTGATTGAAGATCTCGTAACTCTGGTGGTCTTTGGGACTGAGACCATGGACCAATTGATATGTGCCAGTTATGCCTTCCGTGATGCCCTTACGCTATCCTGAAATTTGCACTACTACTTTGTAGATGTGAACTGTACTGTGCTTAACTGTTCGCTGATCGTTGTTATGTAAAACTTCCCTTTTTTGCTTTCTCTCTTTTTTCCAATTGAGATAGGGATCATTTTGGAAACTTAGTAGTAGCAGTTTATTAAAAATAATTGTCAGACTAACTCGTATGATCATTTTTCTCTGCAGGTTCTTCTTTTGCGATTCTAAGTCGTAATTTTATTGAGTTTTGTGTTGTTGGTACTGATAACCTGCCAAGGACTGTATTGATGTATTTTTCTAACACACCTTCAGCCCTTTCCAACTACTTCCCTACCATTCTTTGCAACTCCTATCAGTTCAATAAAACTGTCATAAACCACAACTTGCTATATGCTAATTTCGACACACGAAAGAAGCCCCAGCCAATCAGTTCCGATGATTATGATGTTATGATTCATCATGGGGCTGCCTTTGCCACAGGATTCCGGTTAGATGATCCAATGCTTGACCGTATAGATAGAGATGTATTAAAGCGCGGTCGAGGAAAAGTTGTGCCTGGTGGCTGGTGTTTAGGTGGGTTTGGAAATGACACGTGCTCAGTCTGGGGAGATGCTGATATTTTGCGGCCTGGTCCAGGTGTAAGAGGACTTGAGAAACTTATGGTTGGATTGCTCTCAAATGGCTCATTTCGATCTCATCAATGTCTATATGAGTGATCTGGATCCTCTGTCCCACGAGAGATTGAATGAAAACGATAATGTGAGTTGCCCCTTCAGCATTTGAAAATTTGGGAGAAGAGTATCTGATAGGGACTGATTTTAGCGAAACTAGGCTAAGTTAAATTGAAATTGTTGTAAAATGTATTACAAATCATTGTGCTTGGAGTTGACCAAGGTGTCCTGTTGTACAAGTGATGTATTACAAAGCATATAACTTGAAATGTCATATATCTCCTTTTGCTATCGAGGTTGAGCTCTAAGCATACAGGTTTGTTGGTGAAAATGCACTATGCGTTAGTATTTTGTTTTCCTTAAAATATGTATTCTGAGTCATTATTTTTCCAGAGCGTTCCAATAATATATTTGCATGATAATATTAGTTTGCAATTTTTTATTTATGAAATTGACTCATTTTACTATTGAAAGCCTAGCTCCTTAAAGCTAAATTTGTTTATAACGTTGACAATTAAGGTTATGAAATAAAACTGATTTTTGAAAAGCAAAGGGCAAGGGGAGCCTTGGATGGCTGGATCATTAGGGTTTTTCTTTTTGTAATTCTTTAAGCACAATGTGACACTGCTAGCATCCATAACATTAACACCACTAACATTGGGACAACAGCTGCAAATACAAGTGCCCACGATACATTAAGACCATATTTATTGTCATTCCTTTTCTAACAATGGCGTTCCCTGGAATTGGAGGAACATCATAGTACAAGGGATCTAGGGAAGCCAATATGGAGACGGTGAAACATCTGCCTCGGCCCTTTGTTGAATTTTTGACACACTTCACTACAAACCTGTGCAATATGAATAAGTTCTAGCACATCCTCAGGTCTTCTCTATCTCTACAATAACAATTCATCCGCCGTCTCCATGAGCAGCATGTTTTCTCATTATTGCATTCAAATCTATCTCTCCCTCTCCCTCTCTTGGGCTTGCAAGAATTTTAGAAAAATCCAAAAAATGTGGCTACTGCAAAAACTAGAAACAAACCACCGCCCACATAGCCAACCTGATTGAAGATACCGTGAGTTTAATGTTGTAATATTATAACATCAAGCTACAAGTATCTAATATTAATAATATCAAGGGAAGGTTATGGATCTTACCAGTTTTTCTGAAATGTAGTTGGCAAGAAATGCACCTCCTAGAACAGCAATAGATGTTGCAAGCACATGCCCAGCAATGGCTCCACTTGCTACACCCCATGGAGACTGTATTCAGGAATTCTTTTAGACAAAAACCATCACCAAAATATAGTAAAACATGGAAGGAAAGATATGCTGTGTCTTAAACTAAACATGGTTGCACCTGTGCAGCACCAAGAGCAATCGTGGCAAGCATTGAGCGATCTCCCCATTCCTAGAAGCAAAAACAATATAGTAAAGTTGACATCTGTCCTTCAGGCCATAGTAATACGCATGTAAAATGATTCTGCAAATTAGGCAACATGCTTACGGCGACAAATATAAGGGTGAATGATTTCCAGACAATTTCAAGGGGATTAGAGAGCCTCTTTGACACCTGAGAAAGTTTAAATGATAAGAATGGCTCAGAACAGAATCTTCTAAATGGATTTGGGAAAATATACCACACATGGACACAGACGCGCATGCGCCAACACACAGCCAAATCATTGAGAAAAACAAAAATTTGAATTGTGCCCCTGCAATAAAAAATTGCAAAAGGCAGAAGTTTGTATATGCACAAAGCCTGAGTATTATAACCTTGTGAACTACTAGACTACCTTCTCTTTCACAAACTCCTCGGCTTCAACATATTCATCAAGCTCAGGACTGCTCTTATCACCGCTCTTAGCAACATTGGATGGAAGGTCCCACGCATCTTTTATTGATTTGAGACCGAAGAATAGTAGAAGAGTTACAGCTGCATATTCTCCAATTGGCAAGGCTGTTGATATGGCAACAGAACAACAAAAGGATGAGATTTAATGTCAAATATGGTTTTACATAATTTCATCAGGCCATTAAAAAATGCATCTCAAAATTGATATAAGTTTGTGACATCATTAAAATATCAAGCACAAGTATTTACTGTTCAAATTGTTGACATTCACTGAAAACAGCCAACTATGAAAGGAGTTTAGAATAGAAACTTGCGACTGATCATCCAATCTCATACAATGATATCTAAGCACATACAAATCCATAAAATTGCATAATCCTCATTAATCAATTTACAAATAAAGCCATACATCAAAAGACACGAGAATTTTATCTCAAAATTCAAATTCTTCATACAAAATCTATAGGCATCCATGATGGTTTAACATTGGCTTCGATGCACCATGCACAGGTAATTTGGAACTTGGGTTTCTCTGATTCGGTGATTTTCTGGTAGATTTTTGGTTGAGAATTAGCATTGATAGAGAGCAATGATGAAGAATATGATGTCCATTTGGTTTCCTTACAACCCATTTTCATGAAATTGTAGTACTCATCATCATGTGTTACATGCTTCATTTCTGTTGAAATTGATGATTTTGAATAAGAGAGAACCACGAGAAGTATATGTTAGAGTATTACAGAGCATTTGAGCACATGCAGTCCTGTCTGACACACACCAATAAATACTGGGACGAATCCCACTAGGGGAGGCCCCAAGAGGTTGGGGTGGTCGAAATCAAGACCATCTCGGAGTAAATTAAAATTGAGTCAAGGCTAACATATCCAAGAACATGATGTTTCTTTGTTTAACATCAATTTAGGCACTATCTAGTAGACATAACCAACTAAGATGCGTGAATAGAGAACACGACAGGTTGCATGTGGCATGGGAAAAAAAAACCAGCTAGTATTGTATTTCAAAAGAATCATCAAGATGATAAAAGTCGTTAATGACATTGATTAGGGACCTTTGGATTTTGGGGGGAGAGGGGGAGAGAGGAGGGAGACTAACCCTTTTTCTTTATAAAAAGCTTAGTTGACAGGCAAGCTGATTAGCATTGGAAGACTATTTACTATTATCTAACTGATCTGCCGGATAGCAGCACATTAATATTCGCTAACCTGTTTTCTGAATATATGTTCAAGATGAGAAATGCCAAGAATTACAACTTACTTGTCTGGAATTGAGCAGGCACCGAGTTAAATATTCGCCCAATAATGACAGACAGGATTGTCATAAGTGAAAGAGCACCAGTTGACCCCAACAGAACCTGTTAAATTAAAGCAAGTAACCCAAGTATTCGTCAATTAATACTGAATCTGTTTTAATATGGCTGTCCGAAATAGCATTTTCAATTTCATCAACACCATTTAACTCAGTTGTTCTCAGAATGACATTTCCATTGTTTTGTATTAAGGGAGCGTGAAGATCCTAAACACAGATTTAGTTCACCAATGGCACTCCAAACTCATGTATTAAGAAAGGATTTTGCATTAAGTTTTCAAGTTTTTTTTTGTCTCCTAAATATCTAGATTATAGGGAGGGTAACATTATGCTTGAACCATTTTGGTCATCAACGTAAGAGGTTCTTGGAATTAATTTCATCTCACTAGTTTTATCAAATTACAGGCTGTTGTCTCTTTTGTAATATATGTATTGGGGTTGGTACTTAAATTACTTCAGAACAGTTCAGGCTTTTTGAGATCCTAAGCTATGTATAAACACTATAGAGAGAAAAATAACAATTAGCTCGACTAGAACAAACTAAGGACAACAAAGCATTGTTAGTTGTTGTTTCCTTTTGGGGTTTTATCCCCCTTATCTCATCCAAAAAAACAAAAAAATAAGGGGGCAACAAAGCATTCCTCCATGAATTTTTTGAAATTCAGGACTGAGGAACTTCAATTCGTAATTAGGAATCTACAAAAACAAACTAATCAGTATATTGTTTCTTAATTCAAGAGTAATTCCATATCTTCAAATGGTTTACTAAAGATAACTCTTCCAATAAGGGTTCAGCTGCCTTTAGGTTTTAATTATGTCCTGCTTTATATCCAATTACAGTTTTCCCCTCTGTTGCACATTAAGGGAAGAAAAGCAGAAAACAATATATTTTCTGTTGCAAGGAGAAACCACAGTTTGTTTCCTTTTCCATAATAGAAATCAAGGGTTTATCCATATATAAGTATAAATTTGTCAGTTACTAGGTATAAACACTCATCCAACAAAAAATATACATGTATATATGTGTGCCCATACAGATCGGCGAAATAACTGAAGAAAGAACATAATCAACCTTAGTATAGTCAAAATTTAGAGAAGTTAGAAAAAATCATACCAGTGCTTTGTCATATTGCATGGCCAGGAGTGCAGCAATGAAGAATGTCTAGTCAATAAACAGAAAGTATAACTTAGGTCCAACTTTCAACTCTAGTAGCACACATACTAGAAAAATTACGGAGAGTTTCACGTCTTGGAAACTAGCTTTATGACATAGTTTTCAGGTTCAATAGATTAAATTCCTTAATTCATGATGATAGTATATCCAATCTCAGCCAATTCAATAATCAAATGTTAATGACAGTCAACAAGTAGTTAGATCTAAAGGATAGTTAAAATTTTCTAAAAGTGAAATCTTCATAATAACAAAATAGAAACTATTATTTTCTTAACCCCAGTACTCAACTTTACCAAAAATTGTCATCTCTCTAGGTTTAGCTACACGAATCTTTTGTGCCATACCACATTACTTAAGGTCACTATTCTGCTCTACTTAGGATTATATCTTGGAAATGCAGACGCATCTTTTACATGTAAAATTCCCAACATCTTTGTCACCAATTGACATGAACATGAAAATAAAATAGAAAACAGCTAAAAAAGTTGAGTTACCTTGTCACCAATTTCAGAAACAAATATTAAAGAAAATGCAGCTGTGAAGCCTGATTTTGCAATTGCTGCTAAAAGTGTTGAAGGTCCTCCTTTCACAAAGGCAATCAGAGAAAAAACTAAGGCACACCCAAGTAGCACAAGACCCACAGATATAGGATAAGGGATTTGAATTTGACGCTTCTCACTGCCAAATCATGAAATATGAGTATGGTTCAGGTAGCTCATTATGGACTGATAGCAGTTTAATATGCAACAATTCAAAGGAATCAAGTCAGATGATATATAATACACAACCACACACACTACTATATCATCAATTCAACAGGAAATCAAATCAATTCAATAAAGCTCACATTTCAGATGAACTGTCAGTGGGTGAATCATTGGGAACCATTTTCTCATTCTTGTTTTCCTCCCTGCCATCATAGCCTCCAGATCC